CATGGACATTGATGATTACAAGGTTTTCACAATTGGGTTAACTGAGAGGTGCAATTGAGTTGTTTCTGAATTTGGTTTCGAGTATTTTTACATCGTATGCAGTTTACATGTAGTAGCAATGTGGCATTTTATGAGTTTGATTTGAATTGGGGTGGTTGATTCTTGGGCAGTGTTCAAATATTTGAATCATCACTTGCTGCCTTTCAATGTTATAGTGAGGGGTGTAGTGCCCAATGAAACTGACTGAATCTCGTGTCACTGCCAATCATTTAGTAGTAAAGTCCAAACTCATTTCCCGTCCACCAGTGGAAGCAAGCTTAGCCCTTGTATTAGTTGGGGGGAAGAGGGCATTTCCATCTGTGGTGGTTGTGTGGGTTGTTCCAATGGTGTCATTGGCAAAAAAAGGCAGTGGGTGTGGTATATTTTATGTGGTGTGTAGTTTTGAAAGAATTAAAATGTGCTCAATAAGGATTAACACTTTAAAAAGTATTTATGCAAAGTACTGTAAGTTACAATTTCTAAGAGTTACATACATTGTATCAGTAATAATCATTATAAAAAAAACAAGTTAGAATTTAATAAATATAATGTAAATTACAATCATTATGAAGAAATTATATAGATTGTGAATTTGCCCAAAAAAATTCACAGGTACGTCAAGAAATCACATAGAATGTAATTGCAATATTTTTCTTTAAGCACCAATTTATATTATAATTTCGAAATATATACCAAAAATTAATATTTTTTAGTTCAGTCATGTTTCTTTCCTATTTGTGTGAATTGTCTATTTATTTATGCATCTATCAATGAGCGCTTGGGGTTTTCCAAGGAAAAAAAATTAAAACTATATATTTTTATTTCTTTTGAAGGGAAAAAAGAAAAGAAAATGGAAATGAAAAGAATAACGTGTTAGGCTCCATGAACCCTACCTATAATCGGACCATGTCGATAGGTTCTTTTCTTTCCTATTTGTTTGAATTGTCCATTGGTGGATTGTTGTTCGTATTAATTCCCTTGTGAGCGGTTTACTGAATGGATTAGTCAAATTTTCATTTAACTTCACATAAGTAAATGAAATTATTCCATCTTTGATTAATTTTCTCACGTTATCGTGTCTTAGACTCATATGTCTAGATTTAACATTATATACACTTCATTATATGCTCTAACTAAAGTGACTTTATTATCACACAAGATTGATATAATAGAATTATTCTTTCTCTCAAAGGAATTTCATCCATTAAATCCCTAAACCATTCAACTTCTTTTTCGATTATGGCCAATGCAAAAATTCGTATTCCATATTTAAGTGAGTAATACACGTTTGCTTATTAGATTTCTGAGAGACCGCACCTCCTCTAAGAGTAAATATCCAACGCGAGATTGATTTATTATCACCAACAATAGATATCCAACTAGTATCGATAAATCCTTCTAGGATTATCGAAAATTTAGAATATTAGAGATTTAGATCATTGGTTTTCTTCAAATAACCAAAAACCTTCTGAAAGCCTTCGAATGTTCTTCACTTAGATTGCTAGTAAACTGACTAAATTTTCTAATTGCAAATGCTCTATTGGATATTGTGCATTGCATAGCACACATTAGACTTCGATAGCACTTGCATATCCAAGTTGTACTATAGCTCTTCCATCATTCTTTACAAGTGTCAAACTGATGAGGTTTATGTGGAGGAACAGGCATTGGCATACATGGAACGGTTGGATGGTCGGCTTTCAAAAAAATTGATGTAACTTTTGCGTTTGGTGTCCATTTTGGGCCCATAACCCCATTTCGGAAAGGTAGCGAGCGTTTCGGATTGAACTCACTGCTTTGCCGTGACATACGAGAGTTTTTGGGCATTTGAAGTCGTTTAGTGTGTCAAAACAGCATTTTAAGTTTTTGTGTTATTTATTTTTAGCATTTGTTATTTTCATTTTGTAGCCCAGCCCATTTTGGGACTGCTAGCCCAGTAGGTTATCTTTTCTTTCATATTTAAGACTATGCAAGACGCCTCCTAGGGTTTTCTTGGTTGTTCACGAAATAATAAAAGTTTGTTTCTGATTTCAATCCGTTTGGTTATTGTTGTCGTGTGTTTGCAGATTCAATCTACATCATTTTGGTATCAGAGCATGGTGCGTGGGAGAGGACGTGGTGGTCGTGGTGGCCAGATTGATGAAGTTGCAGATTTGCGTAATCAAGTTGAGGCATTGACAATTCGATTTGATCAATTCATGACGTGGACGACAGAGGTTGTGCAGAACGGAACACCTCCTGCTCCTCCACGTCGTGCCCCAGTGAGTGATGGTGGAGGTGGATCTGAATCAGAGGAGAGGTCGGATGAGGAGACCTTGTCAGAGGCATGTGGCGATCGTGTTCAACAGCCTCGTGTTCAATAGCCTCGTGTGTAACAGCAAGACGCGTTTCAGCGATGGGAATCCGGATTCAAGGTTGATATACCTGAATTTCAAGGTAGAATTGAGGCAGATGAATTCCTTGATTGGCTGGCGACAATAGAGGAGATCTTGGATTACAAAGAAGTGCCCGACAATAAAAGGGTACCTTTGGTGGTGACCCGTCTACGTGGTCGTGCTGCTGCGTGGTGGCAGCAACTGAAGCAAAATCGGATCCGTCAAGGTAAGGCGAAAATCCAGTNCTCCACGTCGTGCCCCAGTGAGTGATGGTGGAGGTGGATCTGAATCAGGGGAGAGGTCGGATGAGGAGACCTTGTCAGAGGCATGTGGCGATCGTGTTCAACAGCCTCGTGTTCAATAGCCTCGTGTGTAACAGCAACACGCGTTTCAGCGATGGGAATCCGGATTCAAGGTTGATATACCTGAATTTCAAGGTAGAATTGAGGCAGATGAATTCCTTGATTGGCTGGCGACAGTAGAGGAGATCTTGGATTACAAAGAAGTGCCCGACAATAAAAGGGTACCTTTGGTGGCGACCCGTCTACGTGGTCGTGCTGCTGCGTGGTGGCAGCAACTGAAGCAAAATCGGATCCGTCAAGGTAAGGCGAAAATCCAGTCGTGGGAAAAA